AAGAGCCCACATTAGCACAGTCTTGTCTGAGACAAAAGATAAAAGCAGAAGCTTTAAAAATTCTCCCACTTTGAGATGCCAGGATGGCTAAAAAGCCCCTGCAATGGGTGAAGCACTGTCTGTTTGGGAGTGGCCCTTACACTGGAAACCGAGTCTCCCCGTGAAGGTAGGGCCAGGCCCAGCCCTCACCCTGCAGGACTGCAAGTGCGCACCAGCTCCAGCTCCCCATGGCACAGGCCAGGCAAAGGCGGCCCCTCCCCGTGTGCTGTGTCAGCCTTCAAAAACGAATACCTAACATTTCTGAAGCTCCTACGATTCAGGATCTACTTAGCTGTCACAGTTCCCTATCCAGGCAGATGCTATTTTATCCTCATTTTCGGTGTCCCTTCTCAAGCTAGCGTAGAGGTGAAGGTCAACCACACATGCCTCTGTCCCCTGTGATTTGAAACCAAAAGAGTAGCAATGTGATGAGCCAATAAGCAGACAGGGGTCAAAGCACACACTGTATTTATCAAGGCCTAACCACTCCAAAGTACAGGATCCCCAAAAGTCCTGGAATAAAGAAAGTCATTTGGGATTGAAGCCAAAACAAACGAGGCTTCCTAATACCTCTTGCCAAATCCAAACCTCGGGGCGAGCCCTGGGAGGGTGTGGGGTCTGCAGGCACACTCCTCACGCACATCTCCATCCCGCAGTGGTGTGACAATGGGAGCTTGCCTCGAAGGGCCAGTTTGCAGCAGAAGAGAGTGCGGCAAAGCACAGCAAAGAAATAGCTTCTAGAAAGCAGGCACCATGCTGGGTCTGTTGACTGCACAGAGCCCAGTGTCCCTCTCTAACAATCTGCCGAGGAGAGAGGGAATCCTATAACTTGCCTTTAAATGTAGTTTCAAATATAGTTCTCAAACACAAGTTACTCACCGGAATCACTTTGAAAGGTTTAAAGAATAGTAGTGACCTGGCCACCCCCCAGACCAAATAAATCAGAAAATCTCTGTGGCACAAGTATTTTTTAAAGTTCTCCTGGCAATTCCACTGTGTGGCCTAGGCTGAGAACCACCGCTTGGTCCGCCTGGTAAACTCTTCCATTTCTTCATGCAGCCCGTCAGAAAGAGCGTTCTTTGGCTACTTTATGTTCAGCGATTTACAAAATCTGCACTGCAACTGTATGAGGCAGGTGTGATAATCATAGCATTTCACAGATGGGCAAAGTGGGGCTTGGAAAGGCTAAGTGACAGACCTGGGATTACAAATTTAGTGTTCCAGAACGTCTCCTGAGCTAGAAACTTAACCATTGCGCACGGTGCTGCCTTTTGTGCATGATCCTAGCAGTATCTCCGATCATACTGTATTCTTTCTTTTTTAGGAAGGAGCAAAAACGACTGGAGAAACTAAAAGAGTTCACTCCAGTATTCCCTCACTAAAAAGAACATAAAATTCCTGCTGTGGAAGCTGAAGAAGCAGAATAAGGGTTTCCAACACCTAACTTTTGTAGAGATTTCGATAATGTGTGGTAAGGAATAATAATAAATAGAAAGTCGCTGGGTGTTACAATGCATGTTGGCAAACTGAATTTAAATTTTAAAAATATATAATCCACTACAATCAATCAATCAACAGTCGGAGATGGTTTTAAATTGTTGAGCAAAGTCAAAGAGCATAACTTTTTAAACAGAATCAGCTCACTGGTTTTGAACAGCCGTCCTCGGTATCTTGAGACTGAGACTAAGAAGACTGGATAGCACAGAGAAGCCTCAGGCCTAAGGATGGTGAAGTACGTACGGGCTGTAGGAGGTTATGGGAACGTGGGAGTCCAGGTTGCCCACTGACAACACGAGCTGCATAGAGAGAACCAGGAGCAGACACCTAGGAGGCTGAGAGGGGTGGGAGGGCTGAAGGAGAGTTGAGGTCATGTTCACACCCTGAAACACTGAGTGAGAGATGAAAGGTGAGGTGTCACCCAACAAGTCAAGTCTTCTCAGAGGTGAAGACAAACCAGAATTACTTTTTTCTCCTAATTTCATAGTTTGAAAACACAGCAAAGGTAGAAACTAATATGAACTGGATCTCACCTTAATGTAAGTTTGCAGGAAGGGGGTAAATGTTAATATGTCAAACATATTAACTTTGCTAACAAAACTTTTAGCACCTGAAGAAGATTTAAATGACTCTTACGGCAATTTCTTCCATAGAGCAAATAATCTAATTCATTCTTTTTGCAACTTAAAAGTGGCAAGACACTGGCATGCATCACAATTTGATCCAAGGGAAGATGCATCTCAGTAGGATAGTCTGTTGGAACACCTAGTGAGCAATAGGAAAAGAATTCCTATACACAGATGTTTCCTTGTTTTATTCCTCTCTTTTCAAAATATGAATCATTATTCCCTTATGAATAGAAGGCTGAAGGAGGACAAGACTCCACCTATATTGGCCAGCGCAGAGTTGCGTCAAGCTTGTGAAATCTTAATTTGTGTCTTCAAAGCTAAGCCATTTACTTGCTAGGAAATCTCAGGAAGTTTTGTTAACAGGCAAAATCTGGTTAGTCCAATAGGTCGTTTTCATTTCTGGTGAGAGTTCACGTGAAGGTTACTTTTTAAAATGTCCTCACACCATCTTCTTAGAGTCAGCTGAACATGACTGAGCCTACACTGTAAGTTTTAACAGGGCTGGTCTGCAATTTGGTGACATCTCTGGAATAGAAAAACAAACTAAATTTGATCTGTTTGACGGTCATCTCATTTTTCTCACTGGTGTGACATCAGTCCTCCTTTAAGTGACTTAGCAACTCTGTCCCCTCCCAACACACACACAGGAATGCTCTGAGCAGGTAAATGTTAATGCATGACTCTTAACTTACATCATTAACTTATTGAGACCCCAGAGTATCATGATAGTGGGTGCACAGCATTAACTGAATAAATTCTAGGATTATTCTGCCCTTTTTACTGTCAACTTTTACTGTTTTTATGGCTATCTCTAAAAATTTTTGAAATTAATCTTTTACCAACAAAGATATAAAAGATATTTATTCACATCATCTAATGAGATTAGGAATCCTAAGATTTTAAAACATGTTTCTTAAATTGCCATAAAACTCATGCCCTGAAAAACTTAAGAGTTAACATTGGGGGTCGCTTTCAAAGATTAGGTGAAAAAGAAATGAACACTTTACTTGCCACTGATTTTTCTATGATCAGTTTTAATAAAAAATGTCAAATGTCAGCAATTTCATATGGTTCTACCTGAAGAGAAACAAAAGACAGCTGAAAACCTAATTTTCACGGCAAATGAAACAACACAGACCCGTGTCTTCCAAAGAAAAAAAGCCTTTGCAAGAAAGGATGACCTCGGCTATTTTGAAATGTGCTGGAACTATCGACGACACATATTCAACACCAGGGCTTATGGTGCTGGCTTTCCAGAATTCAGGATGCTGCCAGTGAGGCTCTAACCCCAAAGTCCGATACTGTTTCCACAGTGCATATTAAAGACTGATGTCGGACTGATGGTCACAGACAACTTTGGGGTGACAAGAAGAGACGGGGGCATTGTCCAAAATAAGTATCTTCCCAACACAAAAGTGCCACCTTGGTCAAGAATTTTAAAACCCCACGCCCAAGCATTTTGTATGTTTACTTAGCTTTTCTACCTTCCACCAAAGGTGCTGAAAGACAATGCAAACCTCAGGAGGGAGGAAGAGAGAGAAAAGGGAGTAACCAGCAACTGCAGAGGCAATAATCGGCTGTACTGGCTTTGTTGTTAAGTCAGAAGCGGACCTGATTATCTCTGTACAACACAAACATCCACAGCCATTACAGGACCTTATAAAAAAAAAAAATCTAGCCACGTTAAATACGATACCTAGAGATCACAAACTACTGTGAAAACATGCTTTTAAACTCTGAAATCTTAAAGGGATAAAGAGCCTCGTTTTCTAAGGGGGGCAAGAGCTTCCCTTATTTTTTGGAAGATAAAACAGAGACCTCAGCAACAAAGCATCTTCCAGAGAACCAGAGATATCGTTCAGAATCCTGTACTTCTTTATCCTAAAACATTGAGATTTAAATCAACTCAGACAGTATACACAATTGAGTTTCTTCTCATTTATTATTTTATTTTTATAAAAAAGACAGATTTAGGATATTTGTAAGAAATTACTAAGTTACATTTTTTTTTAAAATCTGTCAAGTGCTACAGTAATGGAATAAGATTTTTTAAAGTTCAATGTTTATAGACATATTTATAAAAAAAAAATGACTGAATTAGAAGATGTTAAATAATGTTGATACACACCAGGAAGGGATTTAGGCAAGGAAAGGCACATCATTTCACCACAAGAAATAAAGACCATAGTTGGAAGTTAACGACCAGCCAAAGCTTTAGGTCTTGTGGTAGTTTTCCTAGCTCCGGAGGGTCATTATGGTTGAACCTTCTTCATGGTACTGAGCTGGAATAAATAGACAGCGGTTGGAAAATTTTACTCTGTGACCCCAAAGTAGTGTTACAAGAAAGCACTCTTAATGAGCCTGATGTGTGAGGAGGCAAGGAGCAAAATTCCAAAATGGTTTGGTTGTACTGAAAATCCTACTGACATATTAAGGAGAGTTTAAAAAAAAAAATTAAAAAAAGGTAAAATAAGGTTAATCCTCTTGTCTGGCTGAATTGGAATTCTTGCAGTTACAAAGTTAAAATTTCAAGTAAACACTGTATTTTTCACTTCCTTTCTTGTAGACAGACACAGTATAGATAAACAGCTGCCATATTTCACCTTGAATAAACTTTATGCCAGTATTTGGGGGGAAAGGATCTCAGATAGTCTCCTTATTTTATATAGCTTAAGTCTTTGAATATAGCACTAATGTTCTGGCTGACTGGCTATCTACAACAGCAAAGTGACCCTAAGTCTTGACAAAATGAGTTTCTCAGAGACACTAAAGAGTTTCTAGTTGAACAGTTATTTACTGAAAAGTCTAACTGACATCAGCAGAAGTCTTGGGGCCAATTTTCCCCTATCAATTTTCTTTCACAAATTTGTCCCAGGTGTCTACCCATTTCTGGCTGTCTCGACTCTGAACCTAGATTAGTTTGTGCAAAAGATGGAATCATTCAGAATAATGCTTATAAGTTTTAGTGGTATTAAGAAACAACTGTCTCTGTGAATAAATAGAATGGATTTTCAGGATAAAATGGTATATCCACAAAAAAAATTCTTTTTAATTAAAAACAATGGGAAAAGGGAGATAAGGAAAAATATCAATATTGAAAAATAATAAAAATGGCAATTGCAATTCAGGCAGCTTCCCCCTCATGCCACACGATATGCCTTCATTAAGGTGTACTCTTTCCGGTTGGTATGGGCAGCCCAGATGAAGAGAGCAGAAGCCATGAACTGTAAGGGAGCTGAAACACACGCCAGGCAGAAGGACCATCCAAATTCACCAGACACATTCTCAGGCAGCTCTAGCTTCTGGTGTAGTAGCTCAATTCCAGCAACATAACAACTCACGGAGCCCAGGGTACACAGACCTTGGGGGAGAACAAAACATAACAAGGTAAGAGCATCGTGAGAGCTTTTCAGGCAGCACGGCAACACTGCGTGTGTTTAAGGATTATGATCCCTCTGTCTCTATGGAGGAGGAAGAGCTAAGTATACTGACAAGCCTCACCTGCAAGGAGATGGAGAATGCCCGTGGCAATGGTGGGATACAAACTTCGGCAGATGCAAGCACAAAATCCAATCACAGCCCCGAAGCACATCAAACCGAGACTAACGAACGGTAAAAGGAACTGGCAACGCCAAAGATCTAATTTTGAAAAAGACAAAAAAGAAATGTTACCTCAATTTCAGACAGTTTTTTCACAATGACAATTTCTTTTATATACTAATTAGATCTTTTCTCAAAAAGTGTAAAAGGAGGGGCCCCTTGGATGGCGCTGTCTGTCAAGCACCCCACTCTTGCTTTCTGAGGCAGGTGGTGACCTCAGCACTGAGCTGGGCTCCTTGCTCAGTGGGCAGTCCGCTTAAGATTCTCTTTCTCTCCCCGTGCCGCTCCCCCACTCATGCTCTTTCTTTAAAATAAGTTTTAAGATCTTTTTTAAAAAGTGGGAAAGGAATACTTTCTTTCAAGTAATATTGAGGTTTCTTTTCTAAAGCAATTGCCCCAAAGGATCCTACCTGGTGAAAGTAAAAGGACACTAACAGTTAACACTTACTGAGGGCTCACTGTGTGTCAAGCACTGCTCTACCTATGCTTGATATAGTCATCCTCCCAAAATCCCTAGGAAGGAAGTACTACTATTATTATTTTTTTTTTAGGAAGCACTATTATTCTCCATTTTATAAATGAGTGAACTGAAGCAAGAGGTATAAATAACTTGTACAAGGTAACACACAGTAAGTGGGAGTGCCAGCACTTGAAGCAAAACTTTCTGGCTCTACATACAAATGAATCTATATCCTTATAGGATCTCAAGGCAGGAATAAGGAAATGAACAGTGATTATAAAAGATCTGTTGAAAGACTATACATAAAGCACAAAGCAGAGGATCGCTGCACTCCACAAATGGCAGCTGTAATTATCATAAATTCCCTCAACATCAGGTGAAGAAAGCCGATGCCTTTACAAAGCATCCCCTTCCATTTTTACATTGTTTTAATTTTTAGTACTATATTAGTCTCAATTCTAAACCAAAGTCTACTCTCTAGTGCTAGTTTTACTTTCTTGAACTACACAGAAGTTTTTTCTCCAACTTCCCTTCAAAGTCTGTTAGTAATAGACTTCTTTCCATATATTCGCAATACAAAATTGAATACCTTGAAGAGCACGGGTTTAACGGCAGGTTACCTATGCAGATTTTTAAGAGAACAGTATCGTAAATGTATTTTCTCCTTCTTAGGATTTTCTTAATAACATTTTCTTTTCTCTAACTTAATGTAAGAATATACCATATACTACAACATACAACATAGGTGTCAATGGAGTGTTTTAGGTTATTGGTAGGGGTTCTGATCAACCCTAGGCTGTTAGTGGTTGTGTTTTGGGGGAGTCAAAGTTATACATGGATTTTTCAATTGCATCCAGGGGTCGGTGCTCCTAACCCCTATGTTGTTCAAGGGTCAACTCAATGCTTCTCTTCATGGCATGGTCAGTCTTGTGAGCAAGCTCCAGTAAGTCTCTACAGCCTAAATGCCAGGTCCAAATCTGAAGACAGTATTTCCTAGTCTGACCATCAAGGAATAGAATAATTCCTAATAAATATTTTCATTTGTTTTTGATATCTACACTTTTGTTGCTACCACCTAAACCTGGATTAACATTTTTGGCAGCCTTGACTCTTGACTCCCATACAGCTTGCAGTCAACTTTCTTCACATACCCCTATCTAAACTCGGGTAACTGAACTGTTTATCTCTAATGCAGGAATTTATTATTCATCCCTATTAAATTCACTTTTTAAAAGGGCCCACTAATAACATATTTGGGGAGATCTGGATTCTATCATCCAACGTGTTAGCTGCTTCTCTCAACTTCACATTTGCAAGTTGGTTAAGTGTGTATCTTAACTTTAAAATGTTATCAACAGAACAGAGTTCACTGGGATACCATTAGAGATCTTATTTCAATTTGATGCGATGTACTGACTCATCCTGTTCCAGTATCAGAGATCAATGAACAGAAAATGTATTTCCTTCCTCCCCCCCCCCTCCACCAATTGTATCACTGAGATCAATGTACATGTACTCACAGGTCCGAAGTAGATCAATCCCACTATTGTGGTTTCCAGGATCAACAAATTTCTCCATGAACTGCTCATTTAGCGTGAAACTCATGCATTTTGTGACATCAAACGACTCTGGAACACGAATAACAATGATTGCTTGTTGTTTTAATCATAAACATTTAACAGAAATCCCTTTCAGTAATTATTCTTTGAAATAAAAATAAAAAGTGATATAGAAAGATGTTCCCAGAGGACAGCAACCTCTTTGGCCTTGAGTGACACATGGGATTACAGATGCCCAGTGGATGCCAATAGTTGTCAGGAGTGGGGTTAAGACATGGGCACAAGAAAGGAAAAAAAAAAAAGGAAAAGTAGGAGCAGCAAAATGAATGAGAATAGATATAGGCAAGAAGACTAGAAAAGAGGAGAAGACAAAGAAATAAATAAGATCTTTAATTTTTCTATCCCAAACCTATTCCCCCCAGCCATCTTCCCATCTCAGGTGATGACAGTTCCATCGTTCTAGTTCCTCACACCAGAAACTTTAGTCATTGTTACCCACATATATCTATCCCACCAGGAAATCCTCAGTGAGCCTATCTTCAGAACCTGTCTAGAATCCAACCACTGCTCAGTGCCACCACCATGGCCTACGTCACAGGCATCCCTCACCTGGGTTTGTGCAATAGCCTTCTGGCTTCCATCTTTGCCTACTGCCTACCTGTTTCAACACATCTGTCCAGGTGACCAGGTCATCTTTTCTCGGCTCAGAGTTCCACCACATTCAAAGCAAAAACCGATGGGATGCCTGAGTGGCTCGGTGGTTGAGCATCTGCCTTTGGCTCAGGGCGTGATCCCAGGGTCCTGGGATCGAGTCTCACATCGGGCTCCCTGCGTGGAGCCTGCTTCTCCCTCTGCCTGTGTCTCTGCCTCTCTCTCTCTCAATCTCTCTCTCTCTGTCTCTCTCATGAATAAATAAATAAAACCTTTTTAAAAAAAAAAAAAAAAGCAAAAACCGAAGCCCTCATCATGCCCAGGGAATCCTGCAAAGTTTGCCCTACTCCCAGAGTAATTTCTGACAGCATTCCCAATCCTCCCCACCTCTCCCTCTGTTCCAGCCCAGTGGCTACGCTGCTGGTCCTTGAGTATTTCAGGCATGCTCCCACCATGAGGCCCTTGCGGTTGTTCCTTCCAACCTAAACGATTCCCTCTGCAGTTTTCCATATAGCCAACTCCTTCATCTACATCAAGTCTTTACTCAGGTGACATCTTCTTTCCTATACTACTGAACATCGGAACTTACGCCCATCACATCCCCTTCTCTACATATTCCAAATCCCTTTATTTTGCTGCATTTTTCATAGCATGCATCATCTTCTACTATACTATAAATTAACTACTGTTTATACTATTATGCTTATTCAGTTTACTGCCTGCACCCCTTATTAGAATGTTAGCTCCCCAGGACTAAAGGTATTTACTTTTTTTTCCCTGACGTACTACATGGGATACGGAGGCATGTAATATTTGTTGAATGAATGAAAAATGATTGGTAAGATTCAAACATCAAATGCTCTTATACTCTCGTAATTAGAACCAGAACATTTTACAATTAATTTCAACCAATCCCCCAACTTTCACCCTCCCCCAAACTACTTTCTTTTTTCCATTATATAATCACAACGATTGTCCTTTTGATGTATGGTAACTGTTGTGCTGCGAACTGAATACAGTGCTTCCCAATAAGTGGTCAACAAAAGTAATCATAAGTGAAAACTAGAAGTTGTTCCTTAGAAAGAGCTCTAGAGTTTCCATTTTAATAACTGAGAATTAAAATTTTTTTTAATGTTAAGAATGTCAGTCGAATTCTATCCTCTAAGACTCACAGGGCAAATGGCAATAACGATCAAAACACAGCTAACACAGAAAGAGATTATCAATTCGTATTTGTTGATTTGATCTGGATACTAATCCTTTTACCAATTACCAAATATTTTAAGTCTCCCGATGTATTTTTCAAATCATTTCCTCATGACATGTGTGAGATAAATAAAAAGAACTTTCCTAAGTACAGAGATTTAAAATGGCTTTCTCAAGATAAGGACAGTCACTTATCCAACCACTATTAACGAGTATCACGCTAAATCACAGAAGTTGGGCAGCGAATGTATGTGGTAGAGAGAGAGAGGAGACAACGTAGGTCTATTTCTTTGGAGAGAAAAAAAAAAAAAAAAAACAACCCACAAACCTGCTTATACATAAGTGGGTCATCATCACAACACTGTTTATTTTTGAGTAGGTGAAATAGACAGAAGTTAAAATAAGAGAAATACCTGTCCTTTCTGGTGGGCTATACCAGTATGTGTTTTGAGGTATAGTGATACACCGTCTCCACAATCCCATGGTGCCATTAAATCGGAAAAGCGCATCATTGTAAGTCTTTTCATCTGCCTCGTCACTGGCAAAGTCGGTCCAGATGCTTTTGTTCAAATCACTGGAGTTTTCTTGAACCGGACTCCGATATTCATACCAGAAGTCTGTGCCAATGGAGGCTGCCATGTAGATGGTGGAAATGAGGCTAAGCACACAAGCAATTACAAATGCTGTAGCAAAACGGTTATCCATTCTGGCATTCAGACTGCTCTGTTTGAAAGTCGGAGAAAGCAGAGAGTTAGACTTCGAGGACGAATACAGATTATTCTGGAAGGAACTCTCTCAAAATCGCCCTTTATCCTGTTCCCCACCCCTCGGCCCTTAAAGCAAAGCGCGCAGTCGTTAAGCGATAAAAACAAATAAGGGCAAGCGTGTTCTTAAGTTCAAAATAAAAACTCATGATCACGAAGGTACTTATTCGATGCTCACATACCCAGGATGCTACGGAGACCGAGGTCTTGCTCTCTAGTCTATCACCTGCACACTGAAACAGACAACACTGAAAACGGACATACACATCACAGGTACGAACGACACACATGCTCGGGGTCAGCGGGGCGCCGGACACCAAGTCTTCGCGACAGTCTCAATTTTCATTCAAGCTGCAGAGCACTGAGGGGGGTTCTCGGGCCGTGGAGTGCGGGGAAGCAGAGACACTGGCTCCTCCCAGATGCCTCCGAGGAGGAAAACCTCCGACGAGGTGGAGGTGGCGAGTCTGGAGCGGTCCGGCGGGGAGCTGAGGGCTGCGGGGCTGCGGGCAAGGCTGGGCCGCCTGCAGCTCCCGGGGCGCCGCCGGGTCTCCGGGTCTCCGGGTCTCCGCCCCTCGCCCCCCCACCCCCCCCCCACCCCACACACACTCTCGCATCTCCGCACCCGCAAACTGAAAGATCCCTCCTCAGCCGGAAAGAAAACTGAATCCGGCAAAAGGAGCGCGCTCGGGGCGCACGGGCCGCCTCGCCCCTGCGGCCGCAGCGCTCGCGGGGCTCGCAGGCGGCGGGGCCTCCGCTCCCGAAGTTGCTCCGGGTTCTCCCGCCCCCGGCCCGGCCCCGTCCATCCCGGGGCCCTCGGTGACCCCCCGGAGGTGCCGGCGCCCAGGGCGGCCGGCTGCCCGGGCCCGGGCCGGACACCCGGCGCCGTCTCCGCGCAGGTCGCGGCCGGGTCGCGGCCGGGTCACGGCAGGTCGCGGCCAGGTCGCGGCCAGGGCCCGGGGCGCCAGGCCCCTCGGGGGAAAGCCCGCCGCGGCGCGGGACCCGCCCCTCCTCAGAGCGCCGCCAACGCCCGCCGGCCGCCGACCCCGCTCACTCACCGCCCATCCTCGGGCCCCGCCAGCTTCCCCCTCCGGCTCCGACCACAGCGCCCTACTCTCCCCGCGCCTTCTCTGACGCACTTCCCTGCAGATCCCGCCCCCTCCATAACTCCCGCGCCTCCGCCTCCGCCTCCACCCGACGCCGGGCCTGGCCCCGCGGCCCAGGGGGCTTGTGGGAGTTGTAGGAGGGACGGACGCAGAGCTGTGGGAGGCGGCGGCCCGCATGGCTGGCGCCGCGCGGTGCACTGTGGGGGTTGTAGTCCCCTGCGGAGGGAAGGCGGGTGCCCCGGAGCGCGCCGCAGCGCGGGTGGAATCGTATGTTTTCTTTTTATTTGTTTATTTTTATTATTAATGGAGAGAGAAAGAGAGAGAGAGAGAGAGAGAGGCAGAGACACAGGCGGAGGGAGAAGCAAGCAGGCTCCATGCGGGGAGCCCGACGTGGGACTCGATCCCGGGTCTGCAGGGTCACGCCCCGGGCCGAAGGCTGGCGCTGCGCTCCACCGCCGAGTCCCCCCTCCCCGGGCGTCCCCGCCCCCCCCCCGCCCCCCCGGGCGTCCCTGGCACCGTATTTTCTAGGAAGGAAGGAACACAGCTGCGCCGACCGAGACGACCTGTCCCTGACCACCGCCAGTCACTGCGTGCCACTGACAAAACAGGTTTCCCAGTCCTGTGCTCTCCCTTGTCACACACCCTACCTCTAACCGTGTCAACAGCAAGAAGATTGCACTCTTGAAATATTAGCCTATTTATGTTCTCTCCCCGTTGAGGCAGATAGTCTTTCTGGTTTTACTGCTGAAGTGTAGACTGGGAGGGATGTGACTTGACGGGCCCGTCTAGAATGGAACGACACTGTTTGGGTTTCGCCTGGCTTACGTCAGTGGCTGCCTTCTCTTCATGGCGAGTGATACTGGTTTTTCTATTCAAGGTAGTAAAGTTTCATTTTAAAACCAATTCCAGTGAAATTCAAGTGTTAAGTTATAATACTGACGATGCCAGATATGTCAAAAAATACCTGAAGTTGAGAAATTGTTTAGGTAGTGTGAAAAAGACTGAATTTGGGGGAATGTGGCCTTAAGCAAAAAAGGTCACGGACAGCCTCAGAATTTGCAGATGGCCATGCGTTCGCGGCAGTAACAGAATGACTCTAAGCCTCCAAGTATTGCACAGAAATTCGTTGACAGAAAGCAGAGACTTCTTCGCCATAGTGTGTGTGGACCCCTGAACATGACCGAGGGCATGTAAATGATGCATTTCTCAACAGATACCTACAGAGACCGCTAACGCAAGGACCAGAAAAGCTCTCAGACCCGAGCCATCCCCAAATGCCTTGCAATTCATCTCAAAGTTGATATTAAATTCCTACCATCCTGACAGATGGTATCTGTTCCTCTGGAGTTATATTTCTTTTGCCTGAGTTGGCCAACTGATACTCGTATCCAGGTCATAAATAAAATAAGGTAATAGCCAATACAATATTAAAATATAACTGGATTTTCACGTAGAATGCCTGATCAAAGGAGAACTTTGTCAGACGCACCAACTAGAGAAAGTGGTGGAGGTACGTAGGCAAAGTGTTTATGTGCAATTTGATTCCCAAATTTGTTTAAATACCAGGAAATATCTTCGTCCATTGGCCTCCATTAGAAATCCCCTACCTTCAGAACTATCTCTCTGGTGAAATCACATGGTAAATAAACCCAGGTAAAAGGGAAGTCTGAAAGAGGAAGAGGAAGACAACACCTCGATTCATAGTCAGGGAAGCTGAGCCCAGGGTGAATAACCGACTTGAATGATGAGGTGCACTGACTAGGTTTGTGACATTAGACAACTTAGATAACCTCTTAAATCTCAGTTTTCTTTTCTCCAAAATATGAGTGCTGATGATACCCCCTTTCCCAAGTGACCATGGTGAGGATTAAATGAAAAAATGCATATAAAATATCCAAACCCAGGGCCTGGGGCATAGTTAACAATCATTAAATTCTTGGTGTTTGCAAATATTTGTTGACTATTTATAATGTTTGGTTAGAGTCATTATAAACAGCATCTAAAAGCCTCTGATTCTCTCTAGAAGCTGGAAATAAGCCATTAATAGAGGTACATGTTCTGCTCACTTCAGCAGGTTTTTGAACCTCTGGACTAACTGCAGTTGACTAGGAAAGACTTGCCACGACCAGATTCCCGGGCTGGGCTCATAGCACACATAACTCTTCATGATTCAGGAGGTAGGTGTTTCTGGGGAAACCTGTAAAGGAAGATGCCGCTTTCATCCATCAAGTTTGCAGAATGTGTAGAGAACAAGGACATATTTCACTCACAACTTAATATGGACCTGCAAGTGTCTGTGAGTTTGAAGTTGCAACCATCCTGCCCACTCGGCACAGAGGACTTGAACTGCCTCGTGACACTATTACCACCAAGCCCATAACCATATTTCTCATTTCTCTCTGCCTCTTGGGTGTTTTCTGTTTTCTGTTTCAGGTGCTTGCTTGTTATGTGGCTAGGCAAAATAAATCCCTAAAAATTAATGGAGTTCATTAAATTTCTGCTTCCATTCCTTACTCTGCTCTTTGGGAAACAGTGGCTGGCCTGACATATTTACACAAATGTTAAGGATGATTTAGTGTAACCAGGTACAGATTATGATATTTAGGTTTAAAAATAAAGTTGAGGGGCACCTGAGTGGCTCCGTTGGTTGAGCGTCAGACTCTTGGTTTCCACTCAGGTCATGATCTCACCGTTGTGGGATCAAGCCCTGAGGAAGGCTTAGTGCTCAGCATGGAGTCTGCCTGAGATTCTTTTCTTCTCCCTCCCTCTCCCTCTCTCTCTTCCCCTTGCCCTGCTTACTCTGTCTCTCAAATAAATAAATAAAATCTCTTAAAAAATAAATAAGTAACTAAGAATAAAGTTGAACTAGACCTCTGGCTTAATTTGTTAATGATGGTTCTAGTTTCAGCAGGAAGGTGTTCTGGTTACACTATATTTTAAATAAATCCAATAACTGAAAATCTAGATATGCAGATATTATAACTTATTTACATTATTGGTTTATGTCATGACTCCTTATGTGAGAATTCCCTTCAATACCAAATTCTCTAATACACTTAAATATTATTTTTAATCACACATTTTTGAAACTAAAAATTATCTTAAGAAAGATACTCCTACATTATGTTTTTTTGCATATGATTTTGTCCTGGTTGTTTTCCTTATAAACTTTGGAATGCAGAAAAGCAGAAAAATAGAAATATATGCAAGTGGTGGGGTTCTAGTCAACAGCCTTCCTCAGAAAAATGTATCAATCTTTGCATTTCCTTGGACCAATTCATTATAGGACAATGGCAAAATTAACCAAGGACAAAGCAGAAAGAAAAATGCATCAAAAATTCCCTTCATTAAAAAAAAAAAATTCCCTTCATTTTAGCAATTTCTGTCAAATACTACACAGACAACAATAGTTGTTTAGATCTCCATGCTTCCGAAGGACAGTGAATGGATCAAATGCAGGTGAGAAGTTTAAATTTAAATTATTCTCTATTTTAATATAATCAATGTGAGTCTTTAGTATGTCATCCTTTCTTTTAAGAAAAAAAGATTTTATTTATTTATTCATGAGAGACACACAGAGAGAGACAGAGACACAGGCAGAGGGAGAAGCAGGCTCCTCGCAGGGAGCCTGATGCAGGACTCGATCCCAGACCCCAGGATCACACCCTGAGCCAAAGGCAGATGCTCAACTGCTGAGCCACCCAGGCGTCCTGGTAAGTGATCCTTTCTGAGTCCTAGGGTTCTCATTCATAAAATAGATATACTGGATGATCAGTAATAATTACTTGAAGCCCTAAAATTTTATGATTCATAATTCTGCTGGTAGAAGAATAACATAACTCCAAAATATCATTGTCATGGAGCTACATGTTAAAGTTTCATTGGGAGATTCGTGTATCTACACCTCCAGCGATGTACAAGAAGACAGAGATTGTGGGAAATGCAGATGGATAAAGGAAAAGAGGAAGGGCCTATGCTTCTGATTAGAAAAGATACAGCCACACAGGCCTTTGCTGTTTCAATGATCAACAATAATCATGGAAAACAAAAGTTGTCTAAAAAGTTTGTGAAAAGTCCGTATTCATTGGGAATAATTCAAAATTCAAGCATGATTCATTCCAGAGCTACAAATATTGACTCTCTGTCGTATGCCAGACACTGTGCTGGGTACCAAGGACACCAATATAAATAAATGCCATTTTTGTTATGCACAACCTAAATCCAGATTTTTTTTTTAAGACTTTATTTATTTACTCATGAGAGACACACAGAGAGAGGCAGAGACACAGGCAGAGGGAGAAGCAGGCTCCATGCAGGGAGCCTGATATGGGACTTAATCCCAGGACTCTAAGATCACGCCCTGGGCCAAAGGCAGACGCTCAACCTCTGAGCCACCCAGACATCCCGCTAAATCCAGATTAAACCAACTATTATGAAGAAGCCTGAAGTATATGTGCCTAACATAGGAACTTCACTTTTGTTTATGTCAATATGGGGGACCAAAGGAAATAATCTAGTGAGGGAACGAGGGGAGGACCCTGGTTAACAGCAAATATGTGCCGCTTAACTTGGCATGATATGTTACATTACATTATACTACACTCTCCAAGTAATTGTCCAAAGAAAAAAAAATCACTGACTCTTAGAACATAAACAGATCTCTTAAACTGGCCTGTTTTAAATGGCCATACACTTTATGATACTTAAGCAAGAAATGGACGAGAGAGGGACGCCTGGGTGGCTCAGCGGTTAAGATCCTGCCTTCGGCCCAGGGCATGATCCTGGAGTCCTGGAATCGAGTCCCACATTGGACTCACTGCGTGGAGCCTGCTTCTCCCTCTGCCTGTGTCTCTGCCTCACTATGTGTGTCTCTTATGAATAAATAAATAAAACCTTTAAGAAAGAAATGGACAAGAGAGTATTTCAAACAAATGAACAAATGAATCACTCTGACCGAGAAGATTAATGAAGAACAAAACACTTTGCTTCATAATCTTTGTCACTTATTCAGGAACACATTAGTAGAGCATATGAATCCTTTCTTTCTGCTGTGCTATTTGCTGCATCATCTGATTGATCCCTACTTAATAGGAGGGATCAGAGTGATTGATGGGAAAAACAGAAGTAACATGCAATAATGCCTGTTAGGGTGGCTGTACTTACACAAAACCTTAGCCGACCTGCGACGTGCGGTAATACATTCACTTCAGCAGGTATCTCACCTTACACTCTCCCCATCTTTGACATTTGACCCGATTCTGAACATATGTCAGGAATTGAGATGCAGAATAAGGAGGGCCCAGACATCTAAGTTAATTCTGAAAGTTTTGCAACCTCCAGGCTAGAAAATTGCAAAGAAGTTCAAGTGTAGAGGTGATTTGAGAAAAAAAAAAAAAGTTAGCCAAAATAATAACAAAGCATGACATATGAAGTTGGTTGACATACATAAATTAGAACAGTGATTCTAAACTTTGGTGTGTGTAAGTATCACCTTGAAGGCTTGTTAAATATAATATGCTGGAGTCCACTCCAAATTATTCTGACTCAGTAGAGCTGGGACAAGGTTCAGAAAACTACAATTTAGGAGTCATCCCTGATGACTCTAATGGGGAAATGTGGCCTGGCACTACTGGTTCAAAACAATGGCTCTGGGAGTCCAAAAAAGACTTCAGTTGGGTAACTCCCATGTGCTAGAGACAGTGAAGAGGTAATAGATGGTCTCTCCCTTCAAGTTGCTCATGATCAGCTCGAGAGGTCAGACACCAAAACAACTAACCATGTAAAATAAGCTAATAAGGACTTAATAAGCAGTATTGTAAAAAGTACTTAGAGAACACAAAGGTGGAAGCAATTATCCCTGCCAGGGATGGAAAGCATAACATATAAAATAGAATATAAAGTCTATTTATATTCTTGTATATAAAATAAAGGATAGTTGAGCATTTTTTTTCTGTAAAAACAATTCTTAAAAGTGGGTGTGTGTGTTGTCATTCAGTTATAAATATTTACACCTTACTCTTTTTTTTTTTTTTTTTTTTTTTGGTCATCACCTTGTTCTTGCTGCCTTTTCACAGGCTTATGATATCTGGTTGTGGTTTCTGAGTTTTGGTCTATGTGTAGCTGATTATTTGTTGTTAGTATCCTCATGTTTATGTCAGAGAGCATTCAAAGTTCCAAAAATGACCGTTGCACCAAGCTTATTTAGAATGATGACTTCCCCTACTTTATCTTGTTGGTTTTTATTGTGGGTTCTGTCCTATAATAGCTTTGCACTCTGAGTTATTAAAAGCCCAGGAGTAGGCTATTTGTTCCCTTTTTTGCCTCAACACACTTCATTTGTTTTCTGACTTGGGTCCCAGGATAGTTGTGATACATGGTAGATATTCTCGTATTGCAACATAGCATAATAATCCAGAGTGACTGTATTATGGTAAAGCAAAACATTTGGTCTACAGCTGCTTCAAAGTTTAGTGAGGAAGTCAGATTCATTTGTGATAGTTTACATCAATAAGTCAACAACGTTTGAATGCTGAAAGAAAATTGAAGGCCTGCAGAATAAATGTAGATCAGATGTTTTCCTCTACAGTATGAACATGAACTTTTTTCCATTTTAAACACTGGTGTGGGGAATTCTTGAGACACGAGAAAAATAGATACAGATATTTAGAGACATATGTAGATATGGTATTTAAATATTCTATGTTGACCCTATCAATCCTTGTCATGTAAATATTGTCCTACTTCAAAGTATTTGACAAAATGAATTATTCTATTAAATATTTAAGGCTTACTCAGTGGGAAAGATTCCTATCCCAGAAATGTCAAAGCATTAATTAGTTTCTCTCATCTGCAGCCTATACTTAGGGAAGGATACGCCCCCTCACGAACAACACAGAGCTGCCAGGGACACAAAAGGAGGCAGAGCCAAGTCATGAATCAAATTCCAAGTGACTTGCTTGGGCTGCCCCAGAGCTGGGGAACCCTCATTATTCCCTGCCCTAGACCACACGCACCTGAGCCTGTGATAACCTTAGAACACATCAGGAAAAAAAAAAGAGCGGGATCACTGTTTTCAACATATGAATCGTGGGAGAAATAAAAATTCAGTTTACGTGTTTATATGTAACAGTTTTACATGTTTAACAATCGTGTTTTTAATCCACTGGCATGCCTTATAGAAAGAAAGATGGAAGGAGATGGAGTCAGTTTCAGATTTTCATTGTCATTTTCCTAATAGGAAAAAGAATAGGTGAGAGAAAAATAGGATAGGGTCCTTCTGATGTTGGCCTGGGTCTTAAGTGTTTTGAAGGTACCCAAGATATTTCTTCTATCTCGCCTGTACCAGCAACTGCATTATAATGTCACTTCCTAGAGGTCTGTCTCTTGCTAGGTCAGTAATCCCCAAAGTGAAGTTCACTGATGTGTGGAGGTACTTAAAAAAAAAACCTAGTAGCTCAAAAGCTAAAAAATCACTGCTGCAGTGGCGAGGTGTGCTGAAGAGATCAGAGGGGACCTAGAGTCGGCTGAAGGATAGTTACTGGAGGATTAGTAGGGAGAAAATCTCCTAATCAAGGATGTTGCCTCACCAAAGGGAACCTCACTGATTGAATTACAATAGCAGGTCAGAGTGTAAAAATAGTAATTTTAAACCTGTGCCTATAAGCTACACAAATAACAAAAATGCCTACAGCTGAACCTCAACGAATACACACTTGCTAATTACACAGGATCACAAAACCAAGAGTTTTCCTAATTAATTCAAATAAACTAGCATTTCCAAAGCACCTACCATGTGCAGGTTACTGTGCTAATGACAGTGGGAAATTGTTACAGACAACAACAGCACGAGACACGTTCGTTCCCAGTCTCTGGAGGATTTTTTTAAAACTCATTGAATGAAACAGAATTGTTTGTGAACTGAAAAAAAAAAAGCCAAAGAAGTGGCAAGAATCTCATACCCTAATTGAAATCATTATGTATGCTCCAGACATTGACTGGTGTGATTTGGGAAATTATTAGTTCACTCTTTCGGCAGCGAAGACTATTTTCCTCACTTTGATGTCATCGTTACCTTAAAATTCTGAAAGAAAGTGGTGTCTTGTATGTGTAACAGAAAGTTAGATCAAAAGGATCTTCAGTGTCAAAAAGAAAAAAGAAGGAAGGATGTCTTCAAAGTAGGTACAGGGGGAAAAAAATTTAATTTGTTTTTTGATTTCTGGATTTAAAGAAACAAACAATACCTTCAAGACAGAAGTCAAAAAGCACCCCAGTCTCCAGGGCAAATGCAAATAAGGAAAACCACACCACAACCACCAAACACCAATCAGGGTGGTGTTCCTTGTAGGCGCCTTCTGAGGATTGGTAGAAACTGCATTTTTTTCATGTCTGTTTTCACGCTTGTCCCAAGATCTCTTAAGGGGTGGGGTGGCCAGGGTGATGGGGAAGAGGCAGCCACTGTATAAAAAAGAAGCCGCCTTGAGATTTCTTCTAAAATTGTACAAAAACTCCCTAGATAAGAAAATAGCAGATCTGGGGCTGCTGCTATCTGGTGATGGACCCAGAAGCGACGCCAGTCTATTTGGATTATTTCGAGGCTACAAGCGACAATCCTGATGTCGAGGCCGCCCACTCGCACAGTCCTTACACGTCTGTCTTCCTTCCCATCTTCTACACGGCCGTGTTCGTGGCCGGAGTGCTGGGGAACCTCGTGCTCATCGCTGCCCTGCACTTCAAGCGGGGCAGCCGAAGACTGATTGACATCTTCATCACCAACCTGGCGGTGTCGGACTTCGTCTTCCTTGTCACGTTGCCCCTGTGGGTGGATAAGGAAGCATCCTTCGGGCTGTGGAGGACAGGCGCCTTCCTGTGCAAAGGCAGCTCCTACACCATCTCCGTGAACATGCACTGCAGCGTCTTCCTGCTCACCTGCATGAGCCTCGACCGCTACCTGGCCATCGTGCGGCCCGCCACGTCCAGGAAGCTCCGGCGGAGAGACTGCGCGCACGCCGCCTGCGCCCTTGTGTGGCTGGCCTCCTGCCTGCTGGCCTTGCCCACCGTCCTGTCCAGGGAACTCACCCTGATCGAAGAAAAGCCATACTGTGCAGAGAAGAGGGCCACTTCCACGAAACTGACCTGGGCCCTGGTGGCCCTAGTTTTGACCTTCTTTGTCCCCCTGGTGAGCATTGTCACCTGCTACTGTTGCATCGTGAGGAAGCTGTGTGCCCATTACCAGCAGTCGGGAAAGCACAACAAAAAGCTGAGGAAATCCATAAAGATCATCTTCATTGTCGTGGCGGCCTTTGTGCTCTCCTGGCTGCCCTTCAATACTTTCAAGCTCCTGGCCATCGTGTCTGGCTTGCAGCAGGAAGTCTACTTTTCCTCAGCTTTTCTCCAGCTGGGCATGGAGGTGAGTGGGCCTTTGGCGTTTGCCAACAGCTGTGTCAACCCTGTCATTTACTATGTCTTTGACAGCTACATCCGTCGGGCCATCGTGCGCTGCCTGTGCCCTTGCGTCAAGAACTATGACTTTGGGAGCAGCAGTGAGACATTAGACAGTCACCTCACTAAGGCTCTCTCCAACTTCATTCACGTAGAGGATTTTACCAGAAGGAGGAAGAGGTCTGTGTCACTCTAGCTGACTGTGACAATTTAAGCTCTGTTGGTGGATTGGACAGTTAATTCGTATCGGCAACAAAGAAAGGGGGAAGTATTGCTGATGCTACTCATGTTGCCTGGTAAACACAGGGAAGGGTTCATTTTTAAAGCAATGACTGAAAAGCCCTGCGTTCATGGATATAATTGGATCATATGCTGGTTTGGGGTTTTTGTTTGTTTGGGGTTTTTTTTAGAGCGGCCTTCTTTGACTCTCGTCAATCGTAAAATACACGTAAAATACGACTCCTAGGGTCCTTGAGTTCTGGCCGAAAACTCCTTTCTTCACAATTGCCTGTGCACATTCAGGCCTTTTCCTCTCCCAAGAACCATGGTACCTTGATCCACTCCACCCTTCACATCAGGCTCCTATTGGACTACATCTGAAAGATTCTCCCGATTTTCATCTGATGAGAATTGTGGTGACAACGCAGGTAGCAAAAACTGTACCTGTGGCCTGTAGTGAATTGTTACTGAGTAACAAAGTAAGAGTCTGGCCTTAATCTTTAAAAGTGTGTTTATTGATTCCTTACTGTCTCCTAGTGTCATCTTTCACCCTGTGTCATTCACAATAACTCTGGACTGGCAAAAAAAAAAAAAAAAAAAAAAAAAAAAAAAAAAAAAAAAAAACCTCATGGGAATAAAATCACTTTGTATTCTGTTTATGATTCAGGACTTACTTTATGGTCTGGTCTTCTAGAGTATTTTCACCAGAGGGCATAGGACAAAGTTTCCTTGTAAGATACATTGGTAAACATGTATCTCATTATAATAGTACAGTAACTATTTTTCAATAGGGTTTTACTACGTTCTTTTGTTTTCATTGACTTAATAAATTAGGATATGACTTTGCTTTAATTACATGGTTTTAATTACCCAGTTATTCAGTTATCAAATGAAAATGTTAGTACTAACATAATTGGAGGGCATCAAATGCTTAGCTACACCATCATGTGGGTTATCATTTTGTATTTTAATTAAAATGTTAGTGCTACACATTCCCTGTAGCATTATTTGCTTGCTATATATAATTTCAAGACCTGATTCAGTAGTATAGAAAGACAGGATGCTCTGTGTTCAGCTGAAGTTAAAAATCCATAATGAAGGTGTCATTGGTGTTTTATGCACATTTTCCAACCCCAGAGACTTTCCTGAATTCTTTCACCTAATAAATATTTACTGAGTCTACTTATACCTATATTCCCGTTAAAGACTTTGAAGTGAAATACATGTAGTTAGCAGCAACCACAAAAGGCTTTGCTGCAGAAAACATACTATTGTAAACATCTTTTGATTCAAGAGAAAGTGGGTTATGTTTTGACCGTCAGTGTTGACTCAAATGAATTACTACTTTACTTCTAAATATTAGGTCTGGAAATCAGAGAAGGCTTAGAATATTTTCAAAGGCTAAGTAATTCAAGGTCATCCCATGTATCTATCAGATTAAGAGAAATCTCAAATATTGGGTATATTCTTATAATCTATTTAGAAGTTAAAAATATAGTTTTTGGGTTTTTTAAAAATATTTTATTTATTCATGAGAGAGAGAGAGAGAGAGGCAGAGACACAGGCAGAGAGAGAAGCAGGCTCCATGCAGAAGCCCAATGTGGGACTCGATTTCAGAACTCCAGGATCATGCTCTGGGCCAAAGGCAGATGCTCAACCGCTGAGCCACCCAGGCATCCCAGTTTTTGGTTTTATAAGTCAGTTAATTTAACCAGTTAATCAGTTAATTTAGTCAGTTAATCTCTTAAACTTCTATTAAATAATATTTTATTATTTAGGTATTTTATGTTGTATTGCTATCGACACATCGATATTGATATTGATATTAACAGCCTTTTAATACTTTGTCATAGATATAGAAAAAAGGACTATAAATCATATGAAAAAGGTTTTCTTGGAAAACTTCAAAACTGAATTCAAAACAATTAAATAGGTCTCCAAAGGTTAAACAAAATATAGAAAGTAGAAGACACCTCCTTTTAAAAACAAATCTGCAAAAGCACTATTACTAATCAGGAAAATAAGTGTCCTTGAGAAATGCTACTTTAAAAAAAAATAGCTCAATCAATCAAGTAAAGCATTTGTTCGGAAATGAAAAAAAAAATTGGGTTATTAGGTTCAGCTTCATCTTTATATACGGCCATTGCCCAAATCATTTTAATCTTTCATACCTAAGAGTATTTGGCAATATCTATGTCTATAGAATTCTCAAGGATATTATAGGACTCATAAAGTTTTTTTTAAATTTTTAGTTAAACGCTATTGGGTTTCTATTATTAATTATTGTGTGTTGTTTTAAAATTTCCAAACTAGAAGGGCACCTGGGTGGCTCAGTTGGTTGAGTGTCTGCCTTCGGCTCAGATCCTGGTCTAGGGGTCCTGGGATGAAGCCCTGCATTGGGGCTCCCTGCTCAGTGGGGAGCCTGCCCTTCCCTCTACCTTCTCCTGTGTGCATTCTCTCTCTTTCTCACTCTCAAATAAATAAATAAAATCTTTAAAATAAAATATCCAAACTGGAATATCAAGTGACAATCACTCTCATTTAACAAATATTGAGAATCTGTCTTACTTCTGTTTCATCCCTTTCGTTTTTGCTGAGAATATGTAAAATAACATCGAAGAAAAGTATATTGTTGTACTTTTTAATACCTTAAGTAGATATGCTAATTTTGTGCGTTAGAAAATCTTAGCATATTGTATATTCTTAATGCTCTATTGATGGAAGGATAAATAGACATAATTTTACAGATAGAATAACTCTGACAGTAAAACGTTCGAAACTTGATTCAGGTTGGTATGTCATATATGGATTCCTCTGGTATAAAAATGTAATTTACATTATAATAGCATCAAAAGGTTTAATAAATTATATGGTTAGGTCTCATTTTACATATTTTTAAACTATAATATTTTCACATTTTAATATAAACAAATGTATTTATATACATATATACATACAAATACATGCAGAAACATAGCTTATCGAGATTTAATTACCTCAGACTACTCTAAGGGCTACTTGGTGGTAATTTCATGTTATTATTAAAACAAGTCAACACACATTGCCCTGAATTTCTAGAAAATTAATCCGACATCCTAACAATCATGCCTTACCAGTTATATCTAAAGCTAGAAAAACAAAATAAAACTTAAATAAATGAGGAAATCACTGCTGATTAAATTTATTTGTGGTCATTTGTCTACATGGTCCAAAGCTGTTGCCAGGTTTTTAATGACAAACATAAAAGGATTATCATCTCTCCAAACATTTCTCAAGCAATTTTTCTTGAACTTACCACAGAAAGGCTCTCCAAGAAAGTCTGCGTAAGATGTCATCAAATAACTTAGAATTAATTTTCAAGTCAATGTTCTTGAGGTGCACATAGTCGCAAACACACATTCACTCCACTGGGGCTATGCTGAAAGGCTAAAACTAACCCGATGGTTCTGGGAGTCCTGTAAATTGTCCATTCTAATGAGTCCAGGTCACCTCTGAGTAAGACTAATGCTAGTGAGAATAGCTGTCCTAAAGGAAATCTATGTGCGTGACTGAGGGTAGAATGTTACTAGGCGTCACAAGTTAATGTTTAAATAGATGCAGAAATGCAAGTATGATGGTGAGCTGAGTGAAAAAAGTCTTCTCCTATGATTCATCTTGACTCTTCCAATCATCCTTTATACCCCCTGGCAATCTCAAAAGTGAGAAATGACTTGTCAGGTGTGGGTGCCACAAACAGCAGTAAGCCTGTTTTCCTGCAGAGCTCATTCAAAGAAGTTAAGCAATGTGAAAAGAGTGACAAATTTACCTGTAAAAGAGCCACTGGTATAGCCAGCTAGCAAGATGATGGCCTCCAGCACCGTGAGAGGGAGAAAAAGCAGGTGAATAATTCCAGCCATCAGAATTTTTGCAAATGGTTATTGGATTTTGCTCTCCCCAGAGACTGGTATGGATTGGACTGTCCTTTGCAAATGCCAGTTCTTGCTTTAAGTGATTTTCTCCCAGTTAATACTTTTTGTTTTTATCAAGTCTATTGAGTGAACAATTAATCAAGTCTAATTGAGTTAACAATTATGACTAGACTTTACATGTGTGTACAGGGAAAAACAATGACCTGATTTTATACTGCAGATACAAAAATCCATTTTAGAATCAATTACTCTTGTCACTTCTTGTTGTCTTTACCATCTCCTCAATAGAGTTAACACTTCTTAAATGTATTTTAAAAATGCATCTTAAGACTGCATCCTGCAACATTAAAAAGAAAAAAAAACCCACTTTAAATATCCAATGTGTCGAATAAATAAATAAACAAATAAATAAATAATAAATAATAAATAAATAAATAAATATCCAATGTGTCAAATTAGTAATGAAGTGAAGGCTCTTATGGTAAGTCAAGTCATAGTAAAATATATACTCACACGAGCTGTCCATTTACTAGTCTAAAAGTGGAGGAGGGAAGTATTCTGTTAGTTGACAGACATTTTTATTAAACTAAAAAGTTATTGATTTAAGTATGTGAGTAACAAATTTCTAAAATCCAAAGGTAGTTTGAAATTATGGTGGAGCTTTTTAAAGTTGACCACATGTGATTAAGTTAGAGTTAACTTAAGCAAGTCGCCCATTTAGAGAATTTATGATACAAAGTTTGTAATATTTTTATAATGCTCTGCAGACCCAGTAAAAGTAATCATCAACCTGACATCATTTGGTGCTTTCTTATTTGCTACCTAGGAAGATATTAGCTAGTTTCCTATTGCCGTTGTGTTTATAAGTGTTAGGGTTCATCTGTGAGTACTCCATGATGTCAACTCTGATGGAACAAAACATTTTTATCTGCTAGCTCCTACCAATTCTGATTAGAAAGATTTCATTTCCATATTACTCTTAAGTTCAATGAGACATAAACGACTCTCCCTGCTAGAACACTTCATGATCTATACTGTACAAATCCACTCTTCTATTTGCTCTTAATTATATACAAGGCAGAAGATATAAATATTCTTGTGATGTTCTTAGATCAAATAAAATAGTATGCATCCAAAAATATATGTGATTAAAGACTTTTCAATTTCCAAAAAATTTTCTGAGGCAGAGTCTTCAACAAACAACTTTGGTCTTTGTAGCGTACAGCAAATATTTAAGAACTTTGTATTGCAAATCTTTAACAAATCTCTAAATTTTCAAATTCTAGAACAGTATATCATTTACTTCATATAAACTTCATACAGCATAACCTGTTCAGAGCTACTGCGTGCTGTGTAGAAAAAAAAAAAGCAGAATTGAAAGGTCAATTCTGCATGTTTGACCTCACCCAACAGGTCATTTATGGATCATCACATCGTAGGTCAGTGGTTTAAATCTATGCCTTTTATGCCATAGACTTGTGGAATTCTTTGAAAATAGTCAATAATTCAAAAATCAAACTTTTGATGCAAAGTGTCTATTGTACACAATGCACGATGATAGGCGAAAATTTGTTTC